CATTTTTTAGAAATTTCTTTTACAAGTAGTATTATTTTATAACCACTTTTCTGAATGTTCTGTGTTATTGGTGGCATATGGAAAAATATTGGTAAATCATAGGAATAAAATAAGTGATCTTTGTAGTTTCATTTTTAAAACTGTTATGGTTTCTTACTGAAAATAATTACTGGAAAAACAATGATAAAACTAGATAAAGAATAATAAAATGGTCTTATTAAATATTTGAAACATTTTCTTTCTTTTCCTTGCCATATTCTCACAGCTCAGCTCATTTCATATCCCGCATTTCTCCATCCCACGAATTTCAAGCCCCACCATCTTCTATACCCTGAACCCTATATCCCACTTCATCACCCACATGGATCCTAAGAAAGTGACAAGCTTTCCAAGGAGTCAATCAGCAGAGAACCACTCTTCCTCTTCCTGGTCACCTTCCTGTAGGCAACTTCCTGTTATTCCCTCTGGAAACAAGTTTCCCCCTGTCATTCACATCTCAAAAGCACAACTCCAGCAGGTGATTGCATCTTCATTTTCATCAAAGCAACTGCACTGTTGGTCATTTGAAATGCTTTACAATTCCCAATTAATATGCAGGGCTGATATTTGGATTATTTGTCTTAGTAGGAAAACTGAAAGATGGGAGATACAGCTTTTTTGAGGAAGAGTCATTTTAAAGAACTAAACTGGTTTAAAATGGTAGCAAAATCTTCACAGGATAGATCAGAGTGAATCCACTAACTGATCTTTTATGTAACAGATAAAATTATTGTTCAGAAATTATGAATGACGTTTTTGTAATTTAACGTTTGGGGAATAGTTTCAATAAATAAGACTCAAAATTAAAGCTGATAAAATTAAAGCTGGTATATAAGTGATTGCTACATGTACAAAAAAGAGAAAGAGAGGGCTTCATAGATTGATTGAGAAAGCATGTTGTATTTCTTTTAACAAGTATAATGCTAAAATACATATTGTTCAAGGCATGTCAAATGGAAAACTCCAATTAATCTTTAAGAACACAATACTCCAGCTTGCTTTCTTTTTAGTAGTCTTATAATAGATGTTATCCATGTTATTTTAATTTATAATAAAATAGCTTTATAATAACAGTAGAGCAAATACTTACAATAATTATTAATCATTAAAGCTTAACCTTTAATTTGACTCCATCCCACCATAAACATTACCATATGTAAAATTTATTTCTGCATGTAACTTTTTCCTTTATACATAAAATACTATTTCTCTCAATGTAAATTTTTGTTGCTAATTGAATATTATTAAGCAATGATAAAAAGATTTTAAAAATATTCCAAAGATCAAATTTTCTATCAGTGAACTATATAAATCACATTTTCTAACTAGCAAGAAGTATCTCTTTAACTAGATTTTGTACATTTTTGTCCCTTGGTGTTTTACTTTTTTTATGGTGAAAATTAAATTATTAAAAACTTAGTCATAATAATTTAGGAGTTAGCACTCTGATAGTGGGCATTAACTGCACAATCTTATATAATGGCCATAGTATCCAAAACAGAAGAAGAAATAATCTCTCAATTTTTCAGAATGATTATTTGCTTTTTAATTAAAGTAACTGTACTGTAACATGAAAAGTAAAAATACATTTAATATTTGAAAAATTAAAGAATTGAAACATGAAAAATATATTGGAAGTGCTTAATCTGTGTAGATATCAATTCTATATAAATAAAAAACTGATAGATGTTTGTACCTAATAAATGATGGCTATATTTGAATACATCTACTGTAACCTATCAGTTCTTTGGTGCTACGATAATTTTTTCAATCAAACCAGTTTCTTATTTATTCAAAGAAAAGAATAGTCTTTTGTATGTTTTGTTGTAGCTAAAGTCATCTGAAATGTTGCAAAATCACTAAATCTAATGAGAATTCTGAATGCAAGGATTTATTGGAATCCAATACAGGATTGCAACTGAATGAAATCATCAGATTTTCCAGATTACTACCCATTATTATATATATATATATTCTTCTTTCATGGCATTTTCTTCCTCTTGTATCTTCTTATCCTGTTTAAATCAAGAGTATGGAGCATTTTTATTTGTATTTTTATTTTTGAGGGCAACACTCCTTTAGGAACTCCAAACTGCCAGTAAATGGAGCCAGAGCACAAATTAAATAGGGCCATTACTTTTTTCCTCTTTCCTTTGTTCCTTGATTTCATTGCTGAGCAATCATCTAGGAAAACCTCTTGATTTTTGTAAAAAATTGTGAATATTTTTCTTTACACATTTTTTTCATGGCTTCCTTCTGTTTCATCACGTCAAGGAAATAAACAGTCTTTATTTGATCCAAGTCGAATTGACTTCTATTGCAGTCCATAAAACAAGACATCTCTCAATCTATTATTTAAGGGCATCTTTTTCTCAAGTATTCAACTTTCAAATCTGTACATGACCATTGAAAAAGCACTTGCATTGAATGTTCTGGAGTTTACCATCATTGAAATGTTCTTATAGTTCATGGTCTTGTCTAAATTTGTCATTTTTTCCCTTCCTAGATAATCTCTTTATTTCTTCAAACACACTGTTTATTTTTATCTCTTCTTGATCCCAAGGGAAAAAAATATATCTATCTGCCACCTTAACTTGGATTTTTCTTTTCATTCTTATTTTCATAATAAGCTTTTTTAAACATTAACTTTTGAGTAATAAAGTGATACTGTTGGTATATACAGTATTAGATTGTTAATGTTTCAGACCCCAATTTTGATTTCAGCTGGGATCTTTTCCAATTCCACCATTCATACATTTATTGTGCAAGTTACGAACAGTATGCATCATCTGTCTCACTTATTCTGAGCTGTTCTGTTTCTCCAAATTATTAAGGTTCTTCAAAAGATCAGGTGTTTTACAGACTATTTAGCTCTTTTACAAACCATATTCTGGCATAATTCATGTAGCCACAAAGCAAAGATAAATCATCTTATGTTCTCTTATTTCATTATCTACCTTATATTAGCTGTGTGATCTCATGTATCCTTGGTCTTTTCTGAAACCTGATTTTATTTGGAATTTCTCGTTTCATATTTGTCTGTATTCTTTCCTGTAGGTTCTTTAAGAAAATTTTCCTTGTGATAATAGAAAGTACTTGTAGCTTGGGGTTTAGATTTTGGCAGTAGTTTGCTCTCCAAGCTTATTTCAACTTAGTTTCTGAATGTTTCGTTACCAGACTGGGTAACATCATCAGCAGAATTTAAGTATAGCTCCAAACGAACAACCAATCACACGAACAACTGACCACACAGGCACACAAGACATTTATAAGCTAAGGAAAATAGGACAAGAAAATCCTGCTGTTGATGTTTCCTAGTCAGGTAACAAAACATTCAGAAACTAAATTGAAACAAGCTTGGAGAGCAAATGACTGCCAAAAACATTTCTTGTGTCGGATATAAAAGTAGTCTTGGTTTGGTAATTTGCACATTCTTTTGAATTTCCCATCTTTGTTGTAGAGATGCACATCAGTTTCTTCCAGTCTTTGGGACAGCATTGTTCTGTATGGTTAACATTGTACTCTGGATTAGTATTCTGGATTACCTTTCCTCTAAGAGCTTTAAATAGTTCAGGGAATCTGTTCATTTTATTTGGCAGCTGGTCTATTCCTGTATTATCTCAGTTTCTTGTAAAGTTGATTCTTAAGTGTATTCTCTTTCTGAAAATATTTATGACATTCCATAATCCTTTTCATAAAAGTTTTCAATATAAGTTGTCCTGTCTTATTCTACCCTCATTTGCCATTGTTATATCTCTTCTGTGATTAGTTTCAAGTATTTTACTTTAGCTGTATACTTCCTTATGGATTCTCCTTAAATAGGCCTCTTTTCTTGTTATTTGTTAACATCCTTGCTTAAGTTATCTTTTCCTTTATAGTTTAACAGTGGAATTCTGCATACGGTTGTCATACCTCTTTCATGCGTGTATGCAAAGAAATATTTTGTGTTCAAGGAACAGGGACAAACCTGTCAGGAGACAGAGGATTTTTACAGTTGAAGGGACTGATAAAGATCAGTGCCTTGTGAATCAAATAGAGGGGAAAGGCTGTGCAGAAAGATAAGTAGAAAGCAAATTGGGGCAATGATTATAGAAACAGATTCAGGAGTAATGTGAAGCAGATGCAAGAAATGTAGAGGATATAAGAGATTATTTTTGCTCTGATACAAAATAGTTTGATGAATGTTGTAGACAAAAGGCAAACATTTAAAGCACAACAAACAATAAATAATCTGTGAATTAATCAGATTTTCTACTGTGTATAGTAACTGTTCATTATCAAGTATGTTCTTATAACATTTTTTATTGGAAATAACTTCAAAATAGTTCATAAGATCACTCAGCCAGCAAATGATGGCAATGGTGTCAAAAGACTGACACCATTGATGCTTATGGAATACAGTCTAATTGGTAGAAATCATGTTTCCAATAATTCTCATTAAGCACCACCAATATATTTTTTCTTATAGACTGATGTCTATAGATCTGATGTATCTTTGCACCAAAGTCAAGTTAAGTTTTCAGTAAAAAGGTAGAAGATTAAACTACATAGGCCTCCTCCTTATAGCCCATTAAAAGTTTAACAAGAAAAGGAAATAAAATAAAATGGAAGGCTGCAAATACATTTTTACATTGTGTTATTTAGAAATGAAAGTACATCAGTTAAATTAAAAGCATGTAAAAAAGACTATTTAGAGCAAATAGAATAAGGTGTATAAAGACAGATATATTAAGATAGAGTAGTAAGATGAGTGATTTTGATAAGAACAGTTTTTGAGTAAAACAATTACCATATTGTTAAGTGATCCCAAATTGAACCAAGCACTTCTTTTCCATGGTATTCAAGATACAATGAAAAAGAAATTAACTACTGTTTGAGTTTGATTTGATAACATATGATAATGTCAAAAAACAAATTGAGTAAGTTCTGGTCAACTAATTATTTCAATACTTTCTTTGCAGGTTACAATCCCCAGGCCATCAATGGCATCCACACAGTCTACGTCTGAGAGTTTTCATTATGGGCATCATCTAGACAAGAAAGATCGGGATCCTCGCGTTTTGGAACACACAGTTGAACTTTCCTCCCCTAAGGAGAACGTTGCTGGCTTGGTTGAGGCAAATGGTGCATTGACTTTTAGCAGCAGTAGAACAGATTTAATTCTCAAATTAGATTGCAACCAAGGGACACTTGATAAAGATGTTGATGAAGGCATTGAAAATCAGAATAATAGCCAAACAAATCTACTTGAACAATACATGAAGAAACAAGAAGGAAGGGAAAACATGAACCTTGTTGAAGGAATAGAAGACAAAGAGCCTTTCATTGTTTGTGAAGATGTTATTGAAATACAAATTAAAGAACCCTGCTTGACTGCTTCAAGAAGCACAGAATCTGTTTTGGATGGACCTCAGGTTATTACAGACCCAGAAGAACCAAGACCTTTGGGTAGCTGCTCCTTACTGAATCAGGGCACAAAACAGGAATTACAGAAACAGTCAGCTGCTGAAACATCAGATGTTTCTCTGTCAAGAAGTACTGACCTATTTGCTTACAAACAGGAAAGTCAAGAAATACAAGTACATGAAAATGGCTTCCACGATGAGGATATTGATCATGCTAAGGAACTGCAATGCCAGCAAGTGAAACTTGCCACACTTCTGCATGAAAAGGAAAAAGAAGAGCAAAGTATTCAAAGAAATGGAGAACCATTCTATTCTATTTCAGAGAGTGAAACCTCTAGTCAGTCCAAAAAAGAATTGGTTAGATCACCATTTGTAGCCAGGCAGAGTCGCATACCGGTTTTAGCACAAGAGATGGATTCCTCATCAGAATCTTCTCCTGTTTCAGCAAAGGAGAAGCTACTCCTAAAAAAGGCCCACCAAACAGACTTGGTTAGACTATTGGTAGAAAAGAGACAGCTCAGATCTTTCCTGGGTGACCTTTCAAGTGCCTCCGACAACTCACTGAAGGAAAAAGTAGTTGCAGGTCCTGTACCGCTTTCAGAAGATGTATTGACCTCCTTTTCCAAATTAACATTGGACACTCATTTACGGAGTCAAGTACAAGAGAGCTTTTTGTCATCAAGTAATCCTCAACCCAGAAAGAGCAAAATACCAAGACCTGTATCTTGGACTACTACAGATAATACTAGCAGTTCAAACTCAGCTCAGTTTTTTCCTCGGCCACCCCCAGGAAGGCCACCAACAAGGCCTGGAGTAGAGGTTAGGTAAGTGCACACATAATATTTAAGCAATATGAAGTATTCACCTGTATAGTATAACACCTTACAGATTGCACAGTGCTTGTTGCTTTAATTAATTGGGAGGAAGAGCAAGTGCATATGCAAATAATTGTTTCCTGATTTAAAACTGAAGAAAGGTTTGTATGAATTAACAACATTTGTAATCTATGCCTGAAGTGGATACGAGGTACTAGATTTCTAAATGTTTTAGTTTTCAGATTTGAATTATATAATTCTAAGATGGTAAGAATTGTTTGTATCTATGTGAGAAGTTTAATATAAAAACACTTTCTTTCATTTTTATAATAAGGCTTCTCTATTGAAATCTCTCCGTAATATAAATGTCTATTCGATTATATTTTAAAAGGCTGTACTTAATAGACAGAAAAATTAGCTTGTAGCTTCATTGTAACATGTCTTTTGATAATGCTGCTAGAATACACATGTTTTCTATTTGCTGTAATGCAAACAAAAAATAACAAAATGAAGTGTTATTTAAAATAAGTGAAAGTGGCTTGGTTAGAAGAAAATATAGCAAATAAAATACACTGTATTTATATCATATAATACAGTCATTAAGATATGATTTTATTGTTGTGACTAGGTGATAACATAGAACTTTATTTCATTTAATTTATGACATCTACATGTCTGCCAATCTCATAAGAGCCTGATTTTGGGCAGCATACAACAATAAAAAGACTTAACAGACTTAAAATGAAATAAAATATAAAAATAATAGTAATAAAAAGAAATGCAACTTGCATAAAAATGTGCCATATGCAAAGAAATTAGGCTGAATTAAACTAGTGCTACAGCTTGGAATTTAGAAATGTATTTTTGAGCTCAAAAGAGAACATAGCACTTGGATGACTTTTGGAGAGTTCAAAATGTGGTTTGTGTATCCATTCTGGCCCTTCTGAACTTCTTAACAGCTTTTGATACCATCAACCAGCTCTGGGGACTGAGAGTGGGGCACACTGAATGAGTCTATGACAATTTGCCGTGGCCAACTTGCCACGGCCAACTCGCCACAGGACTACTCGTTGCTGGATAAAAGTTACACTAATAACAAATGGTGGAATAGAATAATTAAAGAAAGGATGCAAAAGGAAGGACAGAATGGAATGTGATCAACAAAAATTAAATTAATTTTTTATTTATTTTAAATAAGTAAATAGAATTGTTAAATTGTTCACCAGAGAATTGTCCCATGGCAAGTTGGTTGTGGCAAGTTGTCCTGTGGCAAGTTGGCCGTGGTGAGTTGGCTGTGGCAAGTTGTCCCAATCCCCACACTGAATTGCAGTAGTTCTCCTTTCTCCATGGCTGCTATCAGTCAATGCTAGTAGAGGAAGGGAGGTCCAGCCCTAGGGCCCTATTATGTGGGATGCCTTAAGTCTCAAGGCTCTTCTCCTTCCTATTTAGCATCTATGTGAAGCAATTGGGAGAGGTAATGCATCAGCATGGGGTTCAGTATCATCAGTATGCTGATGATACCCAATTATACCTTTCCACCCCGTGCTCGGGAAATGATGCTGTTCAGGTGGTGGCTGAGCACCTGGATGCTGTAAAGGCCAGGATGAGGAAAGAACAGGTCTGAGTCAATCCTAGCAAAAGGGACTGGTTGTGGGTTTTTGGCCCACATCTGGCATCTGGAGAACTGACATTTCTGACACTTGATGAGATAATATCCGCCTGCACAGATTTGTTAGAACAACTAATCAGTGGAACAACTTGCCTCCAGAAGTTGTGAATGCTCAAACAGTGCAAGTTTTTAAGAAGAGATTGGAAAACTATTTGTCTGAAATGGTAAAGGATTTCCTGCATGAGCAGGGGGTTGGACTAGAACAGAGGTCCCCAACCTTTTGGGCACCAGGGACTGGTTCCGTGGAGAGAGGGTTTTCCGTGGACCGGAGGAGGTGTGGTTTCATGTACTGTCTGCATCCCACGGATGAGGTTTTGCTTGTTTGCGCGGGCCAGTTTCTGTCATGCTGCGGCCTGGTGCCGGTCCATGGTGGTTGGGGACCCCTGGACTAGAAGACTTCTAAGGTCCCTTCCAATTCTGTTATTCTGTTCTGTTATTGTAGTCTGCAATTTGGGGTCCTCTTGGACTCATAAGTTTTGCTGAAGGAGCAGGTGACAGTTGTGTGACCACAGGGCCTTTAAACAAATCTGCCCTTGCACCAATTGCACCTATTCCTAGACTGGGAGACCCTGCTCACAATCCCTGATGCCTTAATCACCTCCTGTTTGAACTGCTGCAATGTGTTCTATGTGGAGCTTTCCTTGAAAATTACACGGAAAATGCAATTGGTCCAGAATGCAGTGGGCATGCACAGTTTTGGGTGTCCTGTGGTTCATCTGAACAATAATATTGCTGCATGAGCTGCACTGGCTTCTAGTTGCTTACTGGATGCAATTCAAAGTGCCATTTATTTTATTTATTGAATTTATATGCTGCCCATCTCCTGGATAAGGTGACTCTGGATGGCTGTCATCTTTAAAGACATACGTGGCACAAGTCCTCATTACTTGCAGGATGGTCCCTCCCTGAGGTTATCTGCTTATCCTACTAGTTTAGATAGGATGAATGTGCTCCTCTGTTAAATATTTTCGCTGGCAACCTCAGTGATTGCCACAATGGCACTAGAGATCAGAGTGCCCCTTACCCTTTAAGCCTCCTAGAAGGCTGTGAAGACATCTTTCCTCAAGCATTGGGCTAGGATGGGAGATTTAACTATGAGGATGTTTGATCTGGGATGGGGGGGGGGGAGAACGGTATGTTTTTAACTATATTTTATGGATTTTTGTGAGCTGCCTAAAATCATTGTATGAGATGGATGGTGGCTATATAAGTGTTGTGAATAACATAAAGTAAATAGGAAAAGTAACAACCTAATTGCTAATAAATAAAATCGCATATGGAAAGAGGTAATTCAGTTCTTTAGGTAATCCAACTCCTTAGATACTGTATATCATCAGCGTTTTCCTCCTAATCTCATAGAATTATGTCTTCCACTTGACCAACACTGTAGGAACAAAGGTGGTGTTTCATTGAATGTTTTGCAAAATCGCTCTTTGAGATATGCTTCAGGCATAATCTGTAAGTAGTGGAATGTGAAAGCCTTCTGTAGTGGAACACTGGAATATTAGCCAGATATGGATAGTCCTCTTTAAGCAACCATACTAAAACCATGTGATCGTGTCTGTGCTTACAGTTTTACACAGGACAATGACTGCAATGACAAACATATGGCTGAGAGAGAGACACACACACACACACTGCAAAGGTCATAAATGCAGGCATTGGTTACAAAGCTACTTCGTAACCTTCAGGTTTCTCTCTGGTTTGGAAGCATCACTGCTTCGGACAGGAGGGCAGTACAGAAAGTGGTGAGGATGGCAAAAAATATTATTGGCAATTCCCTCCCTCTCATCCAGGACATAACATATAAGCATTGCTTGAGCAGGGTCCGCAAGATTGTCTGGGACACACATCCTCTTCACAACCTGTTTTCCTTGTTACCTTCCGGGAGGGAGACTTCGTGGTATCCGAAGCAGAACATCCAGATTAGTCACAGTTTTGTTCCATACAGTATTCACCTTGTGAATTCTAAAGCTTCCTCCTTCCGTTATGTATTCAAGATGGACAGTGATTAATATTTATATGTTACTTACATGTAAGGGTGTAGGTATATATATATGTTGTATATAGCATGTTTATATGTATGTTATGTATGTGTACACTTTTGAGAGCAAGCAACAGAATTTCATTTTTAATGTATGCCAGTGTGCCCACAGTAAAAAATGACAATAAAGGTTATCTATCTGAAGTAGTCATTAAGTGAGAACTACCAACACTAGCAAAGGCTTCTATATTTTTATAAATGGTGGAGAATGAAAATCTGAATGACTGTTACTACAGTAGCATGTCTACTGGTATCCTCTTCAGAAAGTCTGCTTCTGAATTTTCTCTGCTTGAGGAATTAAGTTCCGTAACAAGTGGCAGAAAAATTATAGTATATGAGACAAAAGTTTGGTCCATTGATTCCCACTCACATAATGCAAGTAACAAGATTTAAATATGTGGGGTTGTTGAAGGCTTTCTAATTTCTCACAGCACCTTAGGGATACAAGATGGAGTCTTAACAGACATTGAGAGTAGACCTACTTTCATTCTTAGACAAGAAACAGAATACCTAGGGGGAAGACATTATTTTGGACTGTTTTTAACTGAGCAGTAGTCTTCATAGCCCCCTTCCCATATAGTATCTGAGCTATCACTTTGTCCTGAAATATTTCAGAAGTGGTTACAAATTGCCTTCCTTTTAACTTAAAAAAACCACCTTCAGGATAGCTCCTGTTGTACATCAGGCAGTTACTAAAACAATAGATAGATATGTCCTCCTCTTACAGAAGGAGATGCTAGATATTTGAAGGAAGAGCATTGCTATATATTGTGGATGTTAATTGACTGTGTTTTTTCCATGTTACCTGTGCCAAAGATCATTGCCTCAGTTTTGTTCTTTTCCAATATTCAGCCAATGACCAGCAGTCTTTTAAGGCCAATCTTGGTGCAAGAGATAATATATATGCTAGGTGCAGCATATATTAGAATTGAAATTTTGCATCTGTTCAGTGAGTGAGAAAAAAGCTTTGTGATTCCATAGTCATTATAATATCAATGTAAAAAATAAATTGAAAGGGAATGAGTGGACAGCCTTGCTTGACAACTTTCTCCAATGATATAGGTATATCATATAGGTATAATATAACACAGACTGAGGTTGCATATTAGATTATAGTTTTATATAGGGAAAAAGATATAGGAAGTCAGTTATACTAAATTTTGCAAATACAAGCAAATAAGAAAACAGTTAAACCATGTCAAAAATAAACCACAAACGCTCCAGTTAAACAGCAATGTTAACACAATCTTAAAAGGTACAGATTGTTAAACTTTAAAAGTTGGTTTTGAATAATGGTGTTTTTTCTAGTGTTCAGATAATCTTTGGGAGAGAGCTTCTTGGATTTCAACAAGAACATCATTACATATTGGTGGTGTCCTTATTGTACTAAAAATGTTTATTTTACTTACCCATCAAATTAACAGAGCTTATATAGATTCATATAGGTCAGGAGATGAATTGTATGGATTTCTTTCCTGTTTATTTATTAGTTTTTAATGCTGCCCAACTTTGAAAAAATTCTAGGTGATATAAAATAAGAAAAACAACTACCTGAACAAAATTGCATCAATAATATTTATTAAAAAAGTTGGACTCCAGAAACAGCCTAACCAGGAGCAGAGTTAGGTTTTAAGAGACTTCTGGAACCTCTAAGAGGGATGCTTTTCCACAGGGCATGAACCAACAGAGAAGGAACGCTTCCTTGTTCCCACAAGATGACAGCATTTAACTAAAGGGACTTGGAGCGTATTCACTCTGCCCAAGCATACTAGACTGGCAGAAGCAGCTGGAAACTTGAAGGGCTTTATAAATGACCAAAACTTTGGATTTCATCTGGAAGCTAACTAATAGCCAGTCCAACTCACAAAGCAGAAATGACACATGGACATAACAAGGATCTCTATTACTCCTTGTGCACTGCATTTTAGACCAGCTGTAGCTTCTGAATAGTCTTCAGGGCAGCCCTATGTAAATAGAATTGCATTAATCCAGCTGTGAGGTGACTGTTGATGTAATGTAAACATTTTTAAGCCTAACCCCACTACTTTTTTGAGTTGAGCATGGAAATACATAAAATATATGTAACATGACATATCCTGCATTAAAGAACAGAATGCAGAAATGACAAATTTCTTCTTTTTTTTCAAGGTTGCGGAGGTACAAAGTGCTAGGAAGTAGCAGTTCTGATTCAGACCTGATCTCCCGCCTGGCTCAGATCCTTCAGAATGGATCTCAAAAACCACGAAGCCCTTCACAGTCTAAGAGTCCAGGATCTCCACATAGCCCCAAGACTCCACCCAAAAGCCCAGTCATTCCCAGACGCAGTCCCAGTGCCTCCCCTAGGAGCTCTTCTCTGCCCCGTACTGCCAGTTCTTCACCATCTCGGGGTGGAAGGCCACACCATGAGCAGAGAAGTTCATCCCCACATCCTGGAAGGAGTAAATCGCCTCCTAGCCTTTCAGGCTCTTCATCTTCCAGGAGATCCTGTCAACAAGAGCACTGCTACAACAAATCTAGCAAGAACGGTCTGAAAGGATCTAGTGGCTCTTGCCATCACTCTTCTAGCATTAAACCTCCCACTGGGAAGAACAAAACAGCCAATAAACTTAGCAGATAGGAACTGAATCTTGTCAAGTGTCAACCCCCCCCTCCCCAGTCAAACTATTGCATGTTGTGTCTGTGTACTATGTATTTAAAAAAAAAAAAGAATCGTCTTCAAAGATTAGCAATTATCCTGACTTTTGGAGAAAAACAACTTTTAAGATGAATTATTTATATGGCTCACTTTGTATAGGAGTGGCCAGGCATTGCCCAGGAAAGGGCAGCAAGCAGATCAGGGAAGCTGGAGAGCGGAGATGGAGCAGCCAGAAAGTCCATCTGGAATCACATTGTTTGGGAGATTAGTGTTTTAAGATGATTTTGCTTTCCTTTTTATTTATTAAAACAATAAGCTGACTCTAGATGTTCATCAAGGAAAATTATAAAACCTGAAAGAAATGTACTGGGATACTACTATGCTTGAGGTTTAATCAGCTGCTATGTTTTTAAAGATTTTAAAAAGCACATCATTTGGGACAGCAAAATTCCTCAAAATCTTCTGTGTAATATTGGTCTTTGTCACAAACAATTTCAATTTGTCCATTGCCCACATTCCTTCTTGATGGATAATTATCTCATCAAAAGAAAAAAAAGAACTTGTACCACTAAATATTAGATATGGGCTACATTTAGTATTTATATAATGGCACGGGATTACAACCCTGAATTTTAAGAGCTTGAGGTAACAGTGTGTACTTATATTTATAGATCCCAAAGCTTCTATTATCTGTTCAGGATCTGATCCATTTGATTACTTAACTGTTTATTCATTTCTAGGGCTAGTTCCAGTTATAGAATAAAAGACAGATAATTTCAAATTATGGTAGAAATACAAAAGGTATGGGATCATGTAACATCTTTATGGTTACATTAATCACTTCTCAGGGCACCACTGAGAGAGCCAGTGTAAAACTTAACTAGAATCTTTTATCCTTTATGAAATACTTCATTCATTTAACTTTACTATAATGTTCATCTCCAGTGTTATCAAACTTATGAAGAGGTGAAATGTTTACATGTTTAAACTTGAAACTTCATCCTTAATGTAGAAGAAAGTTGAAGCTTTAATCTTCATAAAGGTGACTGAAGAATACTAGAGAAGATTAGCAAATCCTTTATTTTCTTTAGAACCTAGGAGGTAATACTTGCTAGGATAAGGTCTGAAATGTTAATGTCTCTCTAATCCTATATTGTATAGAAAAAAGTAGTATGCTTCTTTCCCAATATGTACAGAGCCAATAGCTGACCAATAGTGCTATATCTAGGAAAGGGATCCCAGCATCCTCATGATTTCACCATAGTGTAGATATACATGGTAGGTTCCCCCCTCCCACTTCCTCCAAAATATGCTTGATTTGAAATATGGAAAAGATACTGAAACATGTTTAAAGACAGTCTTCCACTTCCCCAAAATATTACTTAATAAGATTGGTGATTTCTAGTTTTCCCAAACATAGGTGTGATTGATTTAGATTGCCAGATTCAGAAATCAGTGATAGAACGGAATACAATGCAGAATGTTAAAATAAGTATGACCAGTTCTTTAAATGGAGATCTGGATTAGAGGATGCTAAATGTAAGAGGAACTTTGGCAATTACTGATCTGCTTGCTGTAGTCATACGCCTTAGCCAGCATAAATTCTTTTTAATTTAATGTTATTTTATTTGCTGCCAAAATTGTAACTCTGGATAAAAAAGGGAACATTTTTCTCTGTGAGCTAACACATTTCTAATGCTGCATTGAAGCTGCACTGAATTTCTTTTGTTCTGTCAGAATGTGTTGGAAATTTTTTACTCTTAAATATGTATTTTTTTCCCCATAAGTAATGTAGCACAGTGTGGAATTGTAGCCTCATTCAGGTTTCAAGCACTACAGAGGGAGTACACTAGCTGGAGCATATTTGCTATACTTTGAGAAACTGAATGATTTAAAAGATCTGTTGTATTATATTGTATAATAGGTGCTATACCAATAATTGCATGTTCTTATAGTAAGTTATATATTATAAATATTTATAAATATATACATACACACACATATATGCTTCTATATACTTTCCTGATTCTCCCATTATACATTTGTAAAATTATGGACCATAGATCATGCTGTATTCTTTCAGTTACGTGCCTGAATTATATGCCCTTGGCCTTGTTATTCCTGTTTGCTGGCATGCACAAAGCTGAATATTTTTCATGCTCAGTTCCGAACAGAAAGAATACGCAAAAAGGAGTTGCTTGGCAATTCAGTGTTTCGTATCAGCATTGACAGTTCACTTTTACAATTCTGAATAAAATGGAAGGACTTTGAGAAACTGTGTGTTTAATAGCCAAGGTCAGTGTATGGTCTTGATTTTGTCTCTTCATCTTCTTTCTGTATCTTTCTAACCCCTTATGAGAACTTTTTCTGTTAAAAGTGTTTGTCATGATACTGGTGGTGATAAATAGATATGTGTGATATAAAAAAAAGTCAAGACTTTCTCTTCATCTTGCCTTGCCAGCTTTTACCCCTGTTCTCTACTTGCTGCAACACTGCAGGGACTTTCTCTTGAGGCTACTGACAATAAAAACGTCAGCTTTTTAAAAAAAACATTTATCAGCTATATGGAGATACATTCAGCCAAGCACGTTATTCCAATAACTTAGGTGCTTGAGCCCTTTTCCAATAAGTGCTTCCAGGGAATATATTTTGAAGCTGTATAATTTGAGTTGATATAAAACAACAAAGCTATATGATTTCTTTGTGATAATTCCATTTTGGGGATTGATATTAATTCATCTGGTTTCTCAAGGCCAACTTTAAAAAGCCTTCCTTTACATATAACCATTTTTAAATTATTTGCATTATCTGCAAGATTTTTTTAAAGTATATATATTTTACATTATACTTAAGGAATAATATTCTTAGAAAATTCCTGGAGGAACCCCTTCATAAATATGTCCAGAGCATCAGTATTGCAAGAACAGCTTCCCCTGCATGTATGGAGATGCATATCCCAAAGATTTATTTTCATGCTTTGCTGTCAGGGACAAAACAATATCTATTCTATGCATTAACAAAAAGAATGTTGTAGAAATATACATTTCTCTTACAAATGGTATGTGTATCCCAATATTACCATAATATTCAGATTCTTTTATGTTAAAATCATTTGTATTTCTTTCCATGTTGTAGAAATGGAAGGAGGCATGTTCCAGACTAAATGGTCATTGTGGAAAGCACAGGTTAATGTCAATGTGTTTTTAATGTATTGAGTGGATTCACTTTTTAGGTTGTCATTCTGCCAAAACATAACCTAATAGTTATTAGAAAACCAATGGTTTACTGACAAAGCTTTAAATTATTGTAATAGAGTACTATCATCACTCTCATCTTTCTGTAGTAATCAGTGATTTTGTTACTAATGTGCATTCTTCTTTCCACAACATTTACTGCTTCGGGAAGCAAACCAAAAAAATATTGTGAGTTAATCTTGATTACAATACCTTTAGTTAATAAAATAATTGTGCTCGTAACTTTGAGAAAGAATGTATTAATCTAGTTTGTCTTGAATAGTAAGTTTCAAGATTAATATGTTAGTAAAAGACAAGACAATTAATATGCATGGTTTAATCTGAATAAGCAAGTCCTGCCCTCCACAGCTTGAGCCAGAATAAGAAATGTTATTTTTTATTCTTTCTGTAGAGTTCGTAGAACATTTAGCCAATTAAACTCTGTGAGAGCACCATCTACCCTCATTCAGACATGCTCTGTTATATGATATAGTGGCTTTGGCACTGTTGCTGCTGTGCTGAAAAGTTACTGCTTTAGGAAAAGGGTTATAGCAAGAATTTAAAAAATTATTCCTGCCAGACCTTTGAGGGTTGGTTGGGGCTGGCGGATAATTTTTAGAATTAAAGATGCATTGCAGGCACATTAATCCTTACATCATATTTTTGTCTACAGTATAATTGTACTGCATGGAACCAAAAGCAGCTGAAACTTACCATCTGTAGTGTCTTTGTAGGCAAATGCTTATTATTAGAATGAAACAAACACATATGTTTACATTTGCATCAGAGATAATTTGTCCATTTATATTGTATTTGTATCAAAAACATGGAGCTCCAAGTGTAGCCTTCTTTCCTTAGGTTTCTTAAAAGTTAAGAAAATGCCTTGACATTTTGTTCTTAATAGTTAAATTTTGTTGGTCATCTTTCTTTTCAAGTAGGACTGGTCTGATCAGAGCTATAGGTCTTTGCTCTCAAGAGTTTGGTTAGATGTAGTTCTCTAATAGCTCAGTTCTTCCTGCAATAAATATAAACAATACCAGTTGTCTATTCTGTAATAGTAATCTGTGTATATAAAAGCAGTTTCCGGAAGACAAGGGACAATAATTTTAATATATGGATATTGAATGATATTAAATATATACTTTTTAAGTCCCTTAGAAGTGTGAAAGAGTGCCTACATTTTTCAAAATCTATCCATCATCTTAAAATATTACTTTCACATTATCTTTTTCTGCTGCAAGTAAAATATCTTAATGTGGAAAAATAAAGGCAACTGATTTATATCTCAGAGGGAAAAATCTTTTTATAAACTATTTAGGATGGAAAATTTAGATGGTTAGACTTGGCTAGTATGTTGTCAATTATGCTATGCTAGCTATGCTATGCTATCTTCTCTGGTTATGATCATTTAATGTTTGACATTAGGGTTAATTCAGTCTTTCATTTAGGTAGCATTGACCTTCTGGTGCCAGTCTTGCTCAGAGAATGGATCGGTAATCAGTTTCAAGAGCACCTTTCAATTCAGCAGTAAGATAATCCAACATGAAGTCCGTTCCCTGCTGTCTTTTCTGTTAGTGTACCATGAATTTTGCTGCTAAGGTGTGATGAGGACATTCCTACATTAGGCAAGTCATGAGGAAAACGTGCAGATTCTGAGAACTGCATTAACACCTCAGACAACTTGAATGAATGAGACCCCATGCCTATAATATATTGTCTGCTTTGTTTATGAGTCATGACTAATAATAGCTAATAGATACTTCCCTAAATTGATTGAGTACTCAACTAGATAATCTGACTTGATGAAGGTAGTGCACAGTCTCTTCTGTTACTGTATTTTAAATATAAAACAAAACGTTAGGTTTCATGCTTATGGTTCTTGTTTGTGTAACCTTTTTGCTTAAGTATTTCTTTCAAGGAAAACAGGTCAAGGAGATAGGTGGGCCCAATCCTCAAATCAGATGTATGGAGACATTTGTTAGTCTGCATGCATTTTAACAACCAGTTGACTAATGTTAATATGAACAGAAATATACATGTAACACAGCTTTCTTTACAATTTTGCTTTCTATTTCAGAGAAACTTTTCCCTTCTGAAATCCCTCAAAATAGTTTTTAAACACAAAACAAAATGAAACCAAACTGTAATAACTTTTATTATAAAATTTTAATTGAGTGTTTCACCTATTTCATACTCATTCAT